CATCAGAATCTAGCGAGGCCTATCAAGAGTTTTACCAGCGGCCCAGAGGAATGGTGGACGGCCCAGTTCGTAGCGGCCCATCTCGCAGCAGGGGAAAGCGCGCAGGCCGGGCCCAGCCCGCGCAGCCCGCATCTCTCGCATATACAGGCCCGCGTTCAGCCCGGAGCCCAACCTGTTTCCAGCACAGCTCCAGCCCGCGGAACCCGCGCCCAACCCGCGTCTGTTGCAACATCTGGCCCGCGTCCGGCCCTGAAGCAGCCCGCAAGCGGCCCATAGTGTCCAGCCCTAGCCAAGCTGGCCCATTTCACCCATGTGTGGCCCAGGTCGCTCCCAGTCTGCCCATTAGCACCCTAAATGCTACCCAACAGCCTAGAAGTGGTCCAAAATGGCACCAACTTAGTCCAGCGACCCCATTTCAAGCACGAGTCCAATTCAGAATGATACAACGCGGACGAGGAGGTAAATATAAGTAACATTCTCACGATGGAGGTATGTGACTATTTAAATTTTCAGTCGAAGGATTTATTAATTGGTGAAATGAGATAAATTATCCGATTTAAATGGTAAAATTTGGAGACTTGAGGATTTAAATACGATTCATTCATGGATATTACTTGATTGGATCGAGGATACATCATTTAAATAATTCATGAGGATTATGCGACTTTTCCGTGGAAATTATTTGACTTATTGGAGGAGAATTATTTGATTTGCTCGAGTGATTATTGGATTTATTTGTGGATGATTATTTGATTTATTCGAGGAGATTGCTTGCTTTATTCGTGAAGCATATTTAATTTATTCGAGGATTATCCGATTTATTCGTAGCCATACTTGAATTATTCGAGGAGATATTATTTTATTTACCCGAGGAGGTGCTATTTGATTTATCTGTGGAGGTATTTGATCTGAGGAGGTGCTATTTGATTTATTTGTGAATGATTATTTGATTTATTCGAGGAAATTATGCGATTCAGTTTCTTGATATATCCGAAACCGCTGATTTGAATTTTCTTGTGAAAATGTGGACTTTGTTGAAATGGATTATTCGTAAACATGTCATTGCTCGAGAAGGTCTTAAATCGAGGAGATGGTGATGCTTTTATTGGATATCTTATTTTTCTAGCGTGGAGAATTGCAAGATGGATGACTTGAATATAATACAGATAATGATATCTTTTTTAATTTTTGTCGAGAAAACAACAAAATAACCAAAGTCTCGACAAGCTATGGCGGGCGAACCGTTGAGTGTCGAGGATAAAATGGACGAGCATGGATCCATTAAAACGAGGGTGATAATGACGGACAAACATGGATGATATAGGTCACCGGTGGCGATTTCAAAGGCAAAAATCATTCTCTTCTGGAGAGGTAAGACAATTTGGAGTGGTATTCTCGATCTTCAGGTACAAAACTATTCTCAACTCTTGATTTGATGGTCGAATTTGATCGACACACAATCTATGGACGCATTGAGGCTTTCAACATTATTTTTTGGGAATGTTAATTATTTGAATACCTTGGGCGAGCTATTGAGGAGATTCTGATGCACATGGGCATGGTTGGATTATTATTCGGATGACTAACAAAATTACGAGTATTATCATATCTTGTTATGTTCTATGTTTTCCTTTTCGACCTCAGTGGCAGGTCGAAGAATTTGAGCAAGAATTTGAGCACAAGTCGTCAGATACAACCAGGAAAAGGAGGTCGAATACATTTGATTCTTTATCTTGTTCGATATCATTACGCACATTATGGGACTAACGAAAACGATCAATTACTATCATATCTTGTTGTGCTCGATGTGTTTCTTTTTGACCTCAGTGGCAGGTCGAAGAAAAAAATCCACCATGACTAAGGCCTCCGGGC